CAGGCTGACTCTTGGCACGGGTCGAGTGACACCTTAGTCCGGCCCGGTGTGAGGTGAGTGTTGGGGCTGGGATGTGGGTAGGTGTTGTGTAGGGATGGGATTGTGTGAGCTACTTAATGAGAGGCGGCACCACAAGCGCATCGTCAGTGTTGCTGCGTCGCGAACACCCGCTGGCTGCCCGGGACTGCTTATTTCGGTACTCTCCCTCAGAGCCAACTTAGTTGATGCTCTTTAAGATGCCCGCTTATTCGCAGCTCACCTACCCACTGGGGTAGGCCGTTCGCTATCCGCAACCTGCGACCCGTCCGGTGGCCTCAGCTAGGCCCCCTCTGAGCCACCTCAAAGACCAATAGGATCATCGGACACTCTTTTTCTAATACAGAGCGTTAAAAACCTAGTCTTGGTTTTAACTTTAAAAAAATAGCTTATGGCCACTGTTTCTGCAACTCCTCGCAACCAGTTCAGAATCAAAATCTCGAAATAAAAAGCCAAGTGCTGCTGTTCGACCGAGTCGGAATTCAAATCAATTTAATGTCTTCTTCTTTTAAATTTCGATATTCACCTATTAAATGCATGTTCTTCCTCATTCTCTATCGTATTCACATATCACATGTATGTTCTAGAGCAACAAGCTTCTGTCAGTAGCTTAATGCTACAAAGTCATCTACATATACGCCCTTCCCTAGACCCACATACTGCTGACTTGCGGTAGAGGCAGAGGCAGCGCCCTCACACAAAAAAAAAAAACAAATATAAGCTGCGGGACGGGGTGGGTTAAAAGTCGGATGACACAGTGCCAGGTGGTGGGCAGAGGCAGGGGCCGAGTGAAGCAGAAGCAGAGTGTGAATGAGAGAATGTAAAAAGAGCAACAAAAGCTGCGGGACAGGGTGGGTTTAGCCAATGGAAATTAATTTCTCCATTGTGGCTATAATAATGATCCGATCGGATCCCAATTTGGTGATCCGCGGGGGCGGAAGGGCGCGTGGCTCATTTTTGAAATACACTGGTTTCAGTGTGAGCATACAGTAGTCCGGAGCCAAAATTTGGTGGCTCTAGCTCTTATAGTCTCTGAGAACTAGACGACAAACAAGACGGACAGACGGACAGACAGACATGGCTCTATCGACTCGGCTATTGATGCTGATCAAGAATATATATGCTTTATGGGGTCGGAAACGCTTCCTTCTGTGCTTTACATACAACAGTTGTTCCCCCACAAATACAATATACCCTATTTACTCTTTGAGTACCGGGTATAAAAACCACAATGAAGTACAGAAGTACTGACTGAGTACCGGGTATAAAAGTTGTGACGCCGAACTCCGACGCGAAAGGATACGAGACAGTATCAAGAAGAGGTTGATATTCATCAACCTTCAACGGGGCTCCCAACGGGGCAACTATCAATTTGGGGGACCTCACTTTTTTCCCGACCGTATCCGTAGGACAGGATAATTCCTTGTCATCTCCATCTCCACACTCATCATCCTGTGACGAGCATAGACACGCGAAAAATGCCGCCGATGCCAAACTGCAATTACATTTTTTTTTGCATGTAAAATTTAGACTCGAGAGGGATCTCCTCAGAAGATATAATATTGCGAAAGGTTATTATGAGATGTTTAAACCAAATAGATGTATGTTAAAAGTTTCAGAGAAGTAAAAAGTAAGTAAGAATTAAAGAGGTAAACCTTTTACAATATTAATTCGGTAAGTTTGCCCAAAGACGGAATTAAAGGACTGCGCGGTTTTGAGGTATTTAAATATGTATATATGTATGTATGGCTTGTAATTCCTCTTTTATTTTCTGCCTTAAAACCGATCAATGTGAGCAAGATGAATGGACACACTGTACCGACATTAGTGGCGTAGCCTCCCATAATGGATAAGAAACGCACAGAGACTCCTTAGACCGACGATTTTGCCGCACAACCACACTCAAGGTTTATCTTTTGTTTCGATTTAATCCATGTTTAAACTTGTAACGCCAATATTCGCGGTGGATATGTTTAACCCACGCGCACTCTAGTGCCATTTTCTGTAACAACTATGTTGCACTCCAGCGGGGTCAATTGGAACTACTACCATGGCCGTAGTTCCGAATGATGCCGGTAAAGTAAATACACATACTGTAAAGTAAATATACATAAAGTATATATACATATATACAGTGTGAGTAAGCAGCCATCGGATAGAACATCGAAATAATTAATAATAATTTTTAATCGATTTCCACAGAGAAAGAACGCCAGTTTGAATCTGGTAATGGACCTGAACCTGCAAGAGCTTGCGGAGCTCGATCTTGACGTGCGCAATCGCATTCACGCGATGATGCACGAATGGTAATACCTTCAAACACTTGTCCCGCACGCCCACCACAGTAGTCGGAACAGAGGACATCTGAGAAACAGGATTGGCGGGAGACGGGAGACTGGAGGCTGGAGCCTTTTACAATATTAATTCGGTAAGTTTGCCCAAAGACGGAATTAAAGGACTGCGCGGTTTTGAGGTATTTAAATATGTATATATGTGTGTATGGCTTGTAATTCCTCTTTTATTTTCTGCCTTAAAACCAATCAATGTGAGCAAGATGAATGGACACACTGTACCGACATTAGTGGCGTAGCCTCCCATAATGGTATTCTTTGCGTGTCTCTGAGGAATCTGGCTGCTAAAACGGCGTGTTGGTGTGAGTTCCAAATAGAAAACAAAGCTAAATTAGGTACAAATTTGAACATTGCGGTTATAAGCGCCACCTATACAAATTGGGTGCGGCACTCTAGTGCCATTTTCTGTAACAACTATGTTGCACTCNTATGTATGGCTTGTAATTCCTCTTTTATTTTCTGCCTTAAAACCAATCAATGTGAGCAAGATGAATGGACACACTGTACCGACATTAGTGGCGTAGCCTCCCATAATGGTATTCTTTGCGTGTCTCTGAGGAATCTGGCTGCTAAAACGGCGTGTTGGTGTGAGTTCCAAATAGAAAACAAAGCTAAATTAGGTACAAATTTGAACATTGCGGTTATAAGCGCCACCTATACAAATTGGGTGCGGCACTCTAGTGCCATTTTCTGTAACAACTATGTTGCACTCCAGCGGGGTCAATTGGAACTACTAACATGGCCGTAGTTCCGAATGATGTCGGTAAAGTAAATACACATACTGTAAAGTATTTTTACTTAAAGTATATATACATATATACAGTGTGAGTAAGCAGCCATCGGATAGAACATCGAAATAATTAATAATAATTTTTAATCGATTTCCACAGAGAAAGAACGCCAGTTTGAATCTGGTAATGGACCTGAACCTGCAAGAGCTTGCGGAGCTCGATCTTGACGTGCGCAATCGCATTCACGCGATGATGCACGAATGGTAAGTACCTTCAAACACTTGTCCCGCACGCCCACCACAGTAATCGGAACAGAGGACATCTGAGAAACAGGATTGGCGGGAGACGGGAGACTGGAGGCTGGAGCCTATAGCACACAATAGCCAGAGCCCTCGAATAAATAAACTATACTCCACTCCACTCTACACTGAACACTTAAAAATGGCATGCAAAATATGTATAGGGGCAAATTATTAAAGTGTTTGATAGTATTTGTCGGAAGGAAATGCAGTAAGAAGGATTGCGATCGAAGTTGTGTAGGCTGCACTTCAGGCAAGTGTTGTCATATTGTCTTCGAAAGGCAATATCAATATCGGTGATGCTCGTAACACTCGTAAAAGCGGGACACTCACTTCGTTAAGAACATCCGCAGGTGCATCCATGAAAGATCAAACTTGGGATGATATTAGTTACCCAACACAAAAACAAGGAGAGAGCGAAGGGTTTTGAGGGTTAAAGCACTTATTTTGTAGCTTTATATGGCAATGTAGTGTTGGGCCGTTCTACGCCTACGTCAGTCAGAGTTGTTATACAAGCCTTTGATGGCCAATATTTTATTGATGGTAAATTAGTGCGAAATAAGTGAAAATAGTTCAACGGAGCCAAAAACGACGAGACGAGCCAAAAACGACGAGCGTTGGCAAAGCAAAAATATTCAGACCAAGGAGTAGAACATTGTTCGTGGTAAAAAAAAGTTGATCTAATTTGATGCGATAGGCGAAGCTTTGGGATACAAATAAAAAAGAAGACCATGGATCTCGAAATGGCTTGGTGCTTGGCAAAAACGTTAATTTATTGTATATATATATGTATATTTGAAACATGTTACAAGTTCCCAGTTGAGAAGGATGCATCTTCTGAGACATCCAAAGCAGCACAAAACTTTAAATGCGTAAGACGGGGCTCTTATACAAGTCCATAATCCACAACCCCACAACCAAACCTCCAGCGTTTTTAAGCCCAGGCCAGGCTGTAATCTTGATAAAGAAAAGGCCGTTTACGATCTTATGGAAATTAAAAAAAGCTCTTCGACGAAGAGCTCTACACGTGGGACGCGCCATCGATTGACCCACCGAACATGCGCCAGCGTAATAAAGACACTCCACATGGCGATCCTGTCCAGGAAGGATCTGGCACAGAAGATGGCAAAAGAGCAGGCAGTGAGGCAAGCGCAGGAGCAAGCACATAAAAACGCACAGGTGCAGGCACAGAGGAAGGCGAAGGGGCAGGCACAAGAGAAGGAGAAGGAGGAATCACAGTGGCAGGCACTCTGTCCGGCAAGCACAGAAGAAAGAACAGAAAGAGGCGAAGGAGCAGCAGATTTGGCAAGCGGTCACCAATAAGATTGGGCCTCGTCCCTGGGATTGGCTGTTCCATCCACGTCACTCGCGAGCTTACAACTCTGAATAAATACATAATTAAATACCATCTACAGTAATATTTAAACCTGTATCCATAAAGCTGACAATGCAAGGATACTTCGAAAGAAACTCATTTAGATCTACGTATCTGGTACATGAAAAAGACTAAACGAACATTGGTAGCCATTTCTGGGTCTATTAATGGGATTCTTCCTGGAGGGACTGAGAGAAAGAACAGTATATCCTTTTTTTTCCTATGTATATTTGATTTTGCACTTAAGAACTATGAAAAAAATTGGCTTAAATCGTTTTACTAACTCTAGTTGGGGAGGATTTCTACAATGATGGTAGGGTAGGGCAGGGCTGTGTATGAGCAGGAGCAGGAGCTGGATAAGGGAGGGGACTGCAGGGAAGGGACTACATTTTACAAATATAACGTATCCGCGGCGGTGTATCCGCATATCCAAGAACTTAAAGTACTTAAATGCGAGATGGTGGTGCGAGGTGTGTGGTACAGCTCAGATAGCGAAAATAAGAGCCCCCCAGGATATTCACAGATAAGCTGACCCAAAAAAAAAATATGTGTATATAGATATTGATAAAGATAGGAACTGGCTGGCGAATCGAAACCAATCTGAACTGAGACTCGCACGCGTTCAACGCAACAAGCAGCCGTATTTGGCTCTGGCGATTGGGATCGATGATCGTTAATGGTCTTAGGCAGTGGCTACCTTGGCCGTGAAGGCAGACAGCTGCGCCTTGAGCGCATCAATCTGGCACAGCAGCTCGATATTCTGGCGCTCGAGGTAGGCGGCCCGGATGGCAATCTCATCCTCCTTGATGCGGCGACGATCACGCGACTTCTTGGCCGCCGCGTTGTTCTTGCGACGCCGCTCGTAGTAGGCGGCATCCTTCACCTGACCGCCGCTGGACGGCTGGAAGCTGGCATTGGCCGCCCCCGCGTTGCTGCCATTCGAGTGAGAGCCGCCTGTGGACTTGGACTCGTAGTTTCCGGCATGTGAATCACAATCGCTGGACTCCTCGGCAGCTGCACGATCTTCGCTCTCACTGTTGTTTGTCGAGGAGCTGCCCTCGTTAACGCTGCCGCTGCGCGAGTTGGTGCGTCGCATTTTGGGATTCGTCACGGTGCGGGAGCCGCCGTTCGAGCTGCGGATCTGTTCGAGCACTCGCTTCCGGTACTCTGTGTAGCGCTCAACGCGCGGATTGTCCAGCAGCACATCGGTGGCCGCAAAGTTGGCGGCAATCACCAGCGGATCGCGGGGGAATGCCTTAAAGGGACGTGTGCTCTTGCCCGCGTCGGAGGCGCTGCTCGTTGTCATGGTGCTGCTGGTGGGCGTTGTGGAGGCGGTGGTGCTGCTGCTGGTGGTCTGGGCTTGGGTCTGTGCCGCGGGCGGTGATTGTGGCGTCTCCAAGACATCGATCTGCATGGTGCTGGCATTGCTGGTCGGGCGTGGGGACACCCCAACAGCTGCAGCGGCTGCGGCCGCGGATGCAGCAGCGAATGTCTGCAGCAGGCTGGCGGTGGCGGTGGCCGTGACACTGGGATTGGCACTGGGCGTCACCTTGGGTGCAGCGGATGGCTCCTGCTTGATGTTGGCGCCGTAGTAAAAGGCCGGATATAGGCTAGCCAGCTGCTGTTGCTGCTGCTGGACGGAGTACAGAAGGCTGTTCGGTATGGAGCTCGTGGCCGTGGGTGAGGCCGAGGGCGAGCCGCTGCCGTAGCTGTAGTTGGTTTGGTAAGGCGAGGGCGTCTTCCGGGGCGTCTCCACGCTGTCGCAGCGACGAGACAGATCCAGGACCTCGGTGGCGGCAGGACCAACGGTTGCCTGCTGCTGCTGTTGTTGCTGCTGCTGCTGTTGTTGGCTGAGTGCAGCGCCAAGGAGCTGCTGTTGATAGGCGTAGGCGGTATATAGATCCATTTTGGGCAGGGTCAGGCTCTGCTGCTGCTGTTGCTGCAATTGGCTGTGCTGCAAATGCAGATGCTGTTGCTGCATATGATGATGCGACTGCTGATGCTGCTGCTGCTGTGGCGACGGTTGCTGGTGGTGGTGATGATGATTGTGGTACTGGTGATGGTGGTGGTGATGCAGCAAAGGCTTGCGATCTATTCAAAGAGAGAAAGAGAGAGAGAAGAAGGAGGAGCAGGCATGTATTAGTACGCTGTCACATTGGATGTGGGGGCGTGGTTAACTTACCAGTCTTCAGATCATTGAAGAACTGTCCGGACATGAGTTTCTCGTGCATCAGCATTGTGTCTGTCAAACGGTTGAATAATCCAAAGCGTAATAACTGTAAACTGATGTTCTGCTAGCTTTCTAGCTCTCTGTCTGCGCGTGTGCGTGTGTGTGGTTGTCGTGGTTGTCGTGACGCTAACGTTGGCGAATGCAAACTGATTTCCTTTCGGCAGCCCGACCGCGTTTTATAGTCCCGGACCCGGCTGCGCCGACGCTTCATTCACAATGGCGGCCGAGGCCTGAGGCCGATGCCGAGGCCAGAGCCGCATCCGAAGCCGCAGATTCAGCCTCAGCCGAATCCGATGTCAGTCAATGTCACGCAGGTAGACGCACAGCAAAGTGGTGGTGGTGACTATTGCTATCCTTCTTTCCTGCATCTCGCTCTGTCCCAGCATCAAAGGGTTTTACGAGGGTGCGGGTGCGGGTGCGGCTGCTGCGGGTGTGGGTGCTGTTGTTGCTTCTTCTTCTGTCCTCTGATTCTGTCGGCAGAGACAGTGACTTTTTGCTGTAATTTTTCGCGAAAAATCCGTGCGCAGCAGTGAAGTCTGTTTATGTAATTTACTGTCATTTAAGAGTAAGCTTTTCTACACATGTGTTTTTGTTGTAACTACGAAGAAGCCACAAAATATGAAAAGAAATTCAAGAAAACTGGAATCAAATGGGTCTTATACATGTATGGGTTGAGGTGGCAATGAAAATTAGAATGATGGATCGAAAATATGCAATGAAATTGATATTAAAATACTGAGAGCAAAACTCATAAAAGGAAGAGAATTCAAAGAGATGTTTTGCATACAAAGTTTTCAGAGAGCATGGCAAAATGTCCAAAGATGTCCAAACAATAATGTTCCAATGTTCCAAAATCTCTGGATGGGTGAATTCGTATAACAAATATCCAAAGGGACTGAACATATTATTATACCCGGTACTCGAAGAGTAAATAGGGTATATTGTATTTGTGCACAAAGTGAATGTATGTAACGCACAGAAGGAAACGTTTCCGACCCCATAAATTATATATATTCTTGATCAGCATCAATAGCCGATTCGACTTAGCCATGTCTGTCTGTCCATCCGTCTGTCCGTCCGTCCGTCTTGTTGAGCGCCTGGATCTCAGAGACCATAAAAGCTAGAGCCACCAAATTTTGCATCCAGACATTCTGCATGCTTACACGGTTACGAGTGTATTTAAAAAATGAGTTAAACTTTAGCTGTTTCAAGTAGCAAGTCTGCCATTTTTATATTTTCAAATCTTTGGAAAAAATAATTTTAAATCGATTGTTTTGTATCACTCCTATAACATGTTGTCATGGCGTTTAGTAGGCCTTTGAAAACCCATAATATAAGCATCCAGCATAGTCTGGTCCAGCGAGACTGGACATCAAATTGCTCGGATCAATTAGGGCTCGAATTGTGCTTCTGGCTCAAACAGCAGGGAGCAAAGGGTATAAAGATGGGATAGAGAGAGGGAACGGGACAGGAGAGCGAAGAGTGTTGCTTTTGCTTCGCTGATGATGAGTGTTTCTCAATGCTCAATGCTCAAGGGTTGCAAATTCGAAATGCTAAATCCGTTTGTTTTTGTCCCGAAATCCTTCTGCTGACCAGCCCCGCCGTTCAATCGTCCTCTCACATATCCTTTCGCACGCATCCCTATACGTGTTTTTCTGTATGTGTGTGTGTGTCTGTTGATGTTCGAATTTTTGGTGAACATACATATGATTGTGCGTGACAAATGATGCCCGAAATTAGCCCTTGCAGTTCTGCAATTTGCCACTTTAGCCCTTTTTGGCGTGCTCGCAATTTGCATTCGAATGGAATCTTCCCAGAAATGCTGGCAAGGCCATCCCATCCCACCACTGACAGGAACTACATGCATACAAAGCTGTCTGTCAAATCTGCAGACCAAAAATTACCCTTGGCCGCATACTTTGATTCATGACGCCGCCGAAGAACAGGGATCAATGCGACAAGTGGCAAGGAAAATGTTGTTTGCCCTCTGGCTGGCTGTATCCCTTCAACGATCAGGGACAGGGGGCGTGGGATAGCCAAGCAGTTTCTTTAACTTTACTTTACTGTTATGCTAACGGTCTTCGACGACTGCTAGCAAACGGAAGTGCCCGACTGCCACTGCCTCACAAGTAACGGATATGAGGAGAGGCACAGTATCAGCTCTGGAAATATATGTATAAAAATTGATCCTGAATCGTGTGGTATGAATTGTGGCCTCCATTGGAGTTCCCTCTTTGCTCCTTGATTCTTTTAAATTGTAGCCTCCATTGCTCCTTAAATCAACTGAATTGTGGCCTCCAATGCTCCTTCCTTGCTTCTCTGGAAATATATAAAAGTTGCTCCTAAATCAGCTGAATTGTGGCCTCCATTGGTGTTCGCCCTTTGCTCCTTGAATCTTTCCAATTGTAGCCTCCATAGCTCCACCTTCTTTGCTCCTTAAATCAACTGAATTGTGGCCTTTAATGCTCCTTCCTTGCTTTTTGGATCATTTAAATTGTAGCACTTCTGTGTAAGGTGGATATTAGTTTTCCTTATGAATATTATCAGGATATATACCAGCACAAATCAATATTTATCAATCAACAATATATTTTGATAGCCATCGAATTCATTCACTCGATCATCGCCTCCATTCAGCCGGAGAGAGCACACACACAAAAAAGGAGAGGAAAAGGGAGGCTGCTTGCTCCTTAATAATCAGTAAAAAACCGCGAACTTATCCACTAATCCCTGTGATAATCCAACCGTAAAAATGGTGGATTAAACATACATTTTACCCATACTCACAAGACACACACAGAGACAGATCGCAGCCTCATTGAGGCGACATCCTACCTGCCGGCGGTCCAAACTCTTGTCCGAAAACTAGCCATAAAACCAAACGGGCAGCCAAAGAGTCGAAGCCAAAGAGTTGCTCAATTCGTTGTAAAAACCAGATTCAGCGAAAAATCAAACAACAAAAAAAAGAAAGAAAAGCGAAAAGCAAGATGGCACTATACATACACATTTACATATGTACAAACATACATATATGGCATGGATATAAAGAGAATGAATCTTAAAAAAATGATGCCATAAAAGAAATATCGTCACTCCTGTCGCTGCCTGCCCTACCGCTGCCTACCCTGCACGATGATAATGAGCGCGGGGTTGGACCAAAGATGCAATATTTGTGCAATCCTTTCCTGGCCTTGAGCGCGTTTTTTACACAAAGAGAGAATATCAGGTAGTATGGGTACCAGCGGCTCGAACGGGTTGCCCGTATCCTTATCTTTTTTTTTTAGACCTACATTAGCAAACAAATATTGTACATGTTTTCTATTTTTTATTGCATAATGGACGGTTCGCGTGAAAATGTCCTTAAGGCCTACACGCGGGTGCTATGCTTGTTTTTTAAGCGGCCATAACCCAGCAATGGTCTGCTCTCCGCTGTCTCTTGTCTGTCTCTCTCTCTTAAAAAAGAAAAAAGGGGTTTGAGGCTACTTTATGGTACGGCCTGTTCCTGCCATTGTGACATCGATTTTTATATTGGTTCGCAGCAAAACTCGCACAAAGAAATCAGCGACTAATTGACTGAAAGGGGTTTTTACTCCATTATATTGCCCATAGAACCAAAAGGGTGACACGGCGGCTGGTTTCGCTGAAAAACTGATGTTAACTTAACTTATTTTTTACCGCCTGACATGGTCAAATATTGCCGCGACTTCCAGCATTTTTATGGAATAATCACCAAGAAGGAGAGAATATTATGAATGCTGATTTGGTAAAGGTTTTGGGACAGTTAAAGAGTGAAGGAACTTTGCAGGGGTCCTCTGGCTGGACGAGAGCTCTGTTCCTGGAAGCAGATGTCCATCAGAATTGATCAAATGATATCGCAGCGACTGTTTTCATTGAGTTGCTTAGTTGATTTTTGGCCTAAGCCCATCCAAAGATTCAGTTAAAGGGAAGATTATTGAAGAACAGAGCCGTGCAGAACCTTTCTCTCTCATGCTAATGAGGAAATAAGTATTGTAGTTAGGAGCTGCTGTACACTTGGCTAACTGGCAGAGGAAGTGAACGGATGGGGGATTACACGTGCTCCGGTCCCAAGACATAAGCCTCTCTCTCTCTGCCACTCCCGTTGGCCGTCGCGGAGTTTGTTTGTGTAGAGCCAAAAGACCAACCAGCCAGGATCAGATCGAAGCAAAAGGATGTGCAGTCGTCCACTTGTTTGTTTTTTCATGCCATATGCAAAGTGCACAAAATGGGATAAGAACCGGCCACAGGGACAGGTATTGTATGAGAGTCCATTAGGTTTTTAGCCGGTTTTAGCCACTTCCGCAAAACGGAAGTGCAGCAGCAGCAGCGGCAGGGGCAGGGGCAGGGGCAGGGACAGGAAGACTAAAAAAAGACACAAGTTAAGTACATACACAGAGAGGGAGAAGAGTAGAGTGGATAGAGTGTGCACAATGGATGGACAATGACGGAGCTAGCTTCCGTCCTGCCATCAAATCCTTTTGCTAATTGTTATCCTATGCACTCCAGTCGTTGTCGCAGTCTCCTTCTGCGTTCCCGTCTCCGTCTCAGCTCTAGCCGTAATCCCCGGCAGAGGCTGCTCAATTATGGCATCTCTTTAATTGAGAGACGGCGTGGCTGTGACTGTGGCTGAGACTAAGGATTCTTGTGGTTCATTCATGGTTACCCATCGAAGCGTGCACTGGGATCCGATCTCTTTCTGTCATCTACAGCGATTCATTGAAAAGCGGAGACTTTGAGTATTGCATTACCTTTATGCCAATTAGTGCGGTTTTGATTACCCAAATGGCAGACAGCAAGGACTGGCAGTGTCGGCGTTTTGCGTCTTGTAAAGTTCCCTCGAACCCGAACCCAAACCCCATCGGAGCTCTCAGTCATTTGAGTTCTTTGCTCACTTCAAATCATAATTTAAATATTGTTTGTATGTACATATGTCCATTGATAGAAAAGAAAGAAGGAGTTGGCATACAGGGGAAGAGAGAGAGGGCGATAACATCGATTGCTGAGACACAAGATTAGAGAGCGAGAGGCTGGGGCCAGTGATCGATGGGGATGGGTGTGGGGTCAACAGCAACGGCAAAAACAAAGCCCAACAAAAGACCTCAAATGAGTGAT